GTACAAAGTTCAACATAAAATTCTAAATATCAGGGTCCAAAAGTTCTTTCCGTTTTTCAACCTGCCCTAAAAACAAGTGGAAAAAGGCAGGCTGATGCTCAAAGGAATGACAGACACAGTTTTTCCTCCTCTTTCCAGCAGTCATCTTTCGGGACCATTTGCCTTAGTGGTTTCTAAGATTATCGCCGAAATTTCAAACCCATGGTTTTTATCATGAGTATCGAAGTGCAATGCAGTGAAGTTTTTTGGCATCTCAGCTGGCTTTCCAAAATTCTCAAAATTATATTTTCAACATCAAAATTCCACTTTTGCCATCCCAAGACTCACAGAACATCAAACGGCGCACAAAAGATGTCATCCGATGCAGGTTTTCCTCGTCTTTCTGGGAACTTTTTCTCTTCTCAATTCGTGGGGTCTTCGGCGATAAAATTATCATAATTGGTGGTTTTGAACCCGTCCCAAGCTGTATCCGCAAAACATCAAATTTGATATTTCTAAGCGGCAAACGTTCTATTGCTTTGTAAAGTTAGTGTATAACCATAACCGAACTTTGCAAGTATCAAATTCCGACGATTGGTTAGTGTTTGGAACCTTTGTGCAAGTTTCGACTTCGCAAAATTGAGACTTTTGGAAAAGTTGTCCTAAAAAATGATAAGAAGCTAAATGAAGATGCAAGAAAATTGCATTGCATTGCACTTTTTCAACGCTATCTAACTGCTATCGAAGCGTTTCCACAGGTTCAAAATGAAGATTCTGAAAAATTGCCAAAGTTGAGTATGGCAAAAACCGGTTTTGAAATTTTGGCAATTGCCTCAAAAAACACCAAGGCAAATGGTCACAAAATATGACTGCTGAAAAGAGGAAGAAAAACTGCGTCTGTTAGTCTTGAAGCATTTGGCTGCCTTTGTTTCACGTGTTTTTATGACAGGTTGAAAAATTGAAAGGAACTTTCGGACCGCTTAATATTTGTCATCGATCCACCCATTGCATTGGTCTCGCAAAAATATAGTTTTCATTTTAGAATAAGGTAGCAAGCAAAGTATATTTATAACAATTATATGATTGCGATTCGCAAACATGTTCAACTCGACTAACAAGAGAAGGAAACGAAAGTTCCAAAGCGTTGTACACAAAAGAAGTAAGAGAAGTTACGAAAAAAGTTAGCTTCGAAGTTTGGCAACTGCTTGATTTGGTAATGTTTCACCACACATCAAATCTTCCTACACTGAGGCAAATGTCAGCTTAGGGGAAGATAAACAGATTCATATACAGTGCTGGACATAATTATAAAGCCACTCTAGAAATCGTCGTAATTTTCGTACTTATCAATGAATCTGTCACTTTGCTGTATTGTGCGCATGTCAACCTTCCATAACTAGTCAAAATTCCAGTCTGTTGAGTTTGAACGGAGAAAAACGAAAAAATTTGAAAAAGCCCTCTTTGAAAGCTGAACGAAATTATAAAGCCACCTGGCCACCTTTTTTAATCACTAACGCATTCGTTGACTCTCAAATTTTTTTGTACAATTATATCCCAAAATATGAAATATTTGCAACACCTACGGCCTATCATCCTACTCAAATAGAAGCGATCACTGCATTTTTTGCTTTCAAAAGCACCAAAAGTCAATCTGCTTCGACAAACAACTGGTTTGAAGAGTTTTGAAGCTCTTGTTCATTTCAAATGATAATCATGGAATCTACTAACCCTTCTGGATAGATGAGGTAGAGAGCGCCTTCGTAAGCTCTGCGTAATCGCTGATTTTGACGGACAGACTCCAATCTCAACATAGGCTTGAATCGCTTTTGAACCATAAACAGTTTGCAATGTCCACAAAGCGCTGAACTTGATTCATTACAGTGCCTACATGGGGATGCAGCTTTCGCAACGATATTCAGATTATCCCTAATGATGCGATAGCGATTTAGACCTGAAATACTTTCCACGAAAATTCCTTGCGAGCAGAAGATTCGATATAACCCTAGATCTCCTCATTTCCCTCTGTGTTTCATGTCATATTCCACCCTATGAATGAGATTAGCCAAGATTTTGAAGTATTAAGCGTCTCCCGTTTTATCTCGTGATCTGAGATGAGTTTAATTGTGCGAGGTGCTCCACTCAACATTCAGTGGGTGTCAACTGCGGCTGAATCAGAGTGCTCAATCCCGAAATTTGTTCCTAGCCATACGCACAAGTTCACTGTTGTATGGCTGTCGTAATGGCTACATTACAGTATTTTCGGTACTTTTCCGTTATCCGGACCCATTTTTTCAAAAGGCTCTTATAAAATACGTTCTGTAGTCTAAGTACAAATTTTTATAGATTCTACGAGGACTGCCTCCTCGCCAGGTGTCAGGAAAAAATTGACACGTTCTAATCCACTTTGACATGTTTTTTCGAAATCATTTCCAGTGAGGTAAAAGAGCATTTGTAACCACTTAAAAGCTGTCCAGCTGATTTATATAAGAGCAAAACAATCTAGAACCATTGTTAGAATATCTTGATTGCTTCTAGCAATGATTCAAGAATGTATTTCTTTTCAAACTTTCCGCCATGCGAGTTTAACCAGAAAAGTCTACAAATGATGGCTTGAAGTAGTGTCTCGCTGCTGCTTGTCGCCGCTTAGATGATAGAACCCTAGCGCATTTCTCTATTCTGGGCATGTCTAGTATTTTCATTGATAAGAGGGCGACGTTATTGTTATAACAATGGCATTTTTGAAATTGGTTAATCGAAAATAGGGTCATTATTGACCAAAAAAGTTAAACTTACGTTGCTAGGTAGGGCAACATGAACTCTTGCTAAAACTTGTTAAACATGTAGAGGGCATGTTAAATTTTTTTGACACGTGGCAGAAAGGTTGACACTCTTTCCTATAAAGTTGGGAACAAATATGGTGCAGAGCAAAGAAGCAATATCTTTTTTTGAAAAAATGGGTCGTCCGGATAACGGAAAAGTACCGTACTTTCTGTTGATTGAAAATCAAGTTTTGTGATGCAAAAGTGCGCCAACCTTATGGTGAGGTTGGCGTCTGTCTATCAATTTCAGCGATTACGCAGAGTTTACAAAAGCGCAGTTCACCTCATTTGTTCAGAAGGGTCGGTGGATCCATGACTAGCATTTAAAATGGACAAGTGCTCAAAAACTTCTCAAACCAGCTTCTTGTCAAAGCAGAGTGACTTTTGATGCTTTTGAAAGCAAAAAATGCAGTGATCGCTTTTATTTGAGTAGGATGACAAGGTCGTAGGGTTATACTTACCTAAGCTTGTAGAATAAAGTTACATATGCAATAATGGCTCAGCATTGCTTTGAGAACATCACGAGAATTTCGTTCTCTTAGGTTCTAGTGAAGAAAACAATTAGCAATTGCACATATGGATGTAAATCATTTGGATGGGGATCCGATTTTTTGGGCATTTAGAAATCTTCAGATTTTGAGTGCGAACTTTTCGTGGTGTAAAAGTGGCACAAAATCACAAATGTCAGCTTGATAAGCTTGCTTTGAACAGTAACTCTTAGCCTTTTCTGTGGTGAGCCTGGTTGCGTTACTAAAGCAAGCAAATAAAAAACGACATTTCTTGAAAGCCTAATTGATGCCTTCATTTTCAATTTAGGTTTTCTCGAACTTTCACACATTGATTGAGCATTGTTATGTCATGTTGAGAATTTACTTCGAGTCAGTATGTGAAAATTACAAACTTTTGTGATCGAGTAACCATGAAATTAGTGCACGTTCTTCAAGAAAAATGAAACACTGAAAAAGCTTCTTGAAAATGTCGCGTGCGTAAAGCTTGGCGCACAAAGCCATATATAAAAACGTTGATAAGAACTTTTCTCTCGCTGTTAAAATATTAGGTCATTCCGAAAGTAATTCCGCTTTTTTCAAACGGGCACCACATGTGACAGAACAAAATTTTCTAAGAGATCTTGGAAGCATTCGATGCAGAATTTCATTCTCTTTCTAATGGTTATGAAATTATTGCAAAACAATCAACGAACTTGCAGAAAATATCCAAAATGTGCTATCCATGCTTTTTGAGATGGTCAAGTTTCACGATTTTTCAAAACTTTCAATCCAATCTTCAGAAGGAGTTCAAGTAACGATTCGATAGAGTAAGCCTTATAGAATACAGTACTAATTTTTTCTCTTTCTCAGAGGCCGCTGTAATTTTTTAAAAGTTTTTTTAAACAGAACCATCGGATTTTGGCAGACCCACCTCAGCCACAATCGCATCAAACATCATAAATTATTCGGAATTTAAGATTATCAATATGGTGCTATGAATTAGCATTAATTTACAAGGCAAGTGAGGGTTTACGGGTTCGAAATATCAAATTTCGAATTTTTCGGGCACAGCCTTGGGCTCGCTAAAAAAATGAGTTATGATGTTTTTTCCCCGGAAACTAAACGAATCGGAAACAAAAAACACCCGTTAGAAAGAGGAGAAAATGCTGCATCGAATAGTGCCCGAGCTGCTCTTCCACTGATGTTCTTCGAGGATTTAGCTGCCCAAGTATGGAAATGGGTAGCATCAGTTAAAATTCTGTTAAAAATGTATGAGAAGCTATGAAAAGGAGAGAAAAGCAGTGCTGTATTCTATGAGGTTTACCCTATCAAATCGTTACTTGAACTCCTTCTGAAAGTTGGATTGAAAGTTTTAAAAAATCGTGAAACTTGGCCATCTCAAAAAGCATGGGTCGCACATTTTGGTTATTTTCTGAAAAATCTTCGAGTGTTTTGCAACAATTTCATAACCGTGAGAAAGAGAATGAAATTCTGCATCGAATGCCTCCAAGATCTCTTAGGAAACTTTGTTCCGTCACATGTGATACCCGTTTGAAAAAAGCGAAATTACTTTCGGAATGACCTAATATATCACCTTCTGCTAGATCAAAGGGTATGCTTAATTAGCCATAATAACAAAGAAAAAATTTTATGTTCTGTATCTGGGCTAATGGCTTTCCATAAAGGGAAACTGTAGGCGGCCAAAAAACAAATATTATTCGACATTTAGGTTGAGATTGAAATTGTCAAAATTTGCAGTAAAATCGGAGTAATCACATAATGTTGATGGCCCACCTAAATGAAAAGAGTTTGTGCTGAAGAAATTTGTGTTCAGTTACCTTCAAGAAAATTAACGAAATTCAATTTTGATGCCGTTTTCGTTTTTCGCAGTACTTCCTAAATATGTGCTCCAGTAGCACAGAAAAAGAGAGGACTTGAACTTTGTGTTCGGTTTCATTTCTATTTCAAAAGCTGTCCTTGAGCCGTCATGCTGTCATCCATCATGTTCTTTCCTCCTCATCAACTGGGTTTTTGTACTCAAAGATTTTGGCGAAATGGTGCGTCAGAACTTCTGCTTTATACAAACTGCCGTAATAGTTCAGCAAATAATATCGCAGTAAGCTGTCATTTCAGATGTCTGGCTTTTGCATAGATGCTTTCTGTGAATTTCGGAGTCACGTACGCTGATAAAATTGCTCTCATAGAGAGAACGCTTTTGGAAGTGGAAACCCAGGCGAGTGACTTCTAGGCCATTTCGGAGAGTATTATGGAGCCAAACTGCAGATTTTTTTTGAATTAATGAAGCAAGTTCTTTATGAAATCGATCATTGCTTCCCTCCACTTGATTAGAACAGTGCCACGTGTGATTAGATCAGAAATATAGCATCTATTGCATAGAGTGCCCTGATACAACATAAATTGTGAGCGGATTTTGCATGGACTTGCTCCATGCGCTCCTAACTCCTTAAACGTCGAGGAGCACAGCAGATACTGGAGACAGAATTTGGATAAGAAACTCTTGAATGGGTATATCACTGAAAAATTACTTGGACGAAAAACACTTTGTTTGCTAATGTGCAGAAGGTACAATTACATTTTTTTGAATTGAGGGAAAAAGCATACAGTAGAGTTCAACAAATTTTATTGAATCTATCCACTTCGTTGCGCGTGTGTGTTTTGTTTTTTTCTATCAATGTAATATCGTTTATTGGCTGGTACCTGGAAAGATAGTTTATGTGCTTGCGGAGAAAGATATCAAGTTGTGAGAATAGTATGGCTGATATATAACATGAGCTGCTTTGCAATGCACCAGCAAAATGTTGATTTAGGTCTTTTAGGCCCCGGACAGACTTCACGCGACTCAATCGTCGCGATCTAATCGCCAAGATTTCCATTCATTTTCATTTCACATTCAAAAATTTCGGGCTGGAAAAGTATCACAACCGAATGCAAATTGATCGGCATGGAATGATGTTGTAACAGTTGTCTCGTCGCGATTCAGTCGCGACGATCAAATCGCGTGAAGTCTGCCCGGGGCCTTAGATGAAGCTCTTCTCTCTTCATTTTTGCTATATCAATATCTGAAGCACCATAAGAACTAGCGGCATGTGATTTTCGCGAGAAAGCCCTACAAAACACGTCCAAGTATTCACTACAAAAGCTTATTCTGCACCAATGATAAGATCGAGAAAACAAATTTTCTAAATTTAGTTCTCTAAATTTCGTCCTTGCAGTGCCTTCTTCAAATCACAGCTGAGTGGAAAATAAGAGATGAAAGATTCTTGAGACCTGTTTGCTACCTAGGCTCCATGATATGAAATTATTTGCTAACTTGCTAGTGTCTGCACTGTACGCATTTCTGACAAAGAGACTTCTTTCCTTTTATTGAACAACGTCCTATAAAGAGCGTCAGGCATTGCAGCAACGATGTTGCAGTCGAATTTTATTTTGTGAAAGTTTACTTGAACCTTTTTTTGCTGGTTTTTCATTGCAGTAACTATAGATATGGACATACCGCTCTCATAATTTTGGTTTTCCTCAAATCTAAAACCTTGCTGTGTTTTCAAAAACACATAAACTTATGCGCATGTGAATTTTTCGTTCAAAACAACTATTTTGTCCGAGATTTCTGATTCTAGAATGAGAATTTCACAGCAAGAGATCGTCTTACCTCAACGCATTCAATTTGTTTTCCACGATTTTTCAATTCTTGGCACACTCTATCGTATTCTGCCCATTGGATTTCCTCTGATTGGAAGAAGAGGCAACCAATATTGCTTTTCGATGCGGAGCATCCCACTCCATCATATTCGCACAACTGAGAAATTCTGATATTTTTTAGTCTTTCGATAATTTTTCGAAAATAATCTTGTTTGACAGCTGCATATCGATCAGAAAAAAATGTCCAGCTGTTATAAGAAAAATCGCTAGTTCCTTACAGTTCCCCGAAGTGCAGAAATAACTTCCAGGAGTTCTTTCACTTTTGCATCGGCAGAACCTTTACTCATGAAATCCCTGGAAAAAGAAGTTGCTCAGTGAAAACATTGCGTATAGGTAATTTTTGCGAACCCGCCAGATAGTGCAATTGGCATCTGATGTTCTTGATATTCCATTTTGATTGGTCCTACTACTCTTTCTTGATCTCTCAGCATCCGCGAGACATCAAGCATGGCTTGAGTAAGGAAAGGCTTAAAGTTTTTGTATATATTTAATCGTTCCTATCAATAGTAAGAATCAAATGACTAAACTATTCAATGAGTGAATAATGGTTGCATGCTCTACAAATATGTAATTATGGCATAATATTCAAAACACTCATGCTCCTTAAGGACTGACATAAACATGATTGCAGAGTTTACGAAGTCTCCGTCGAACCGTAGTGGTGAGTGTTGGGGGGTCAGGAAGATAATGTACCGGAAGTGCCGAAGCCTAAAATGTTTATATCTAAATAGGAAATAGGATAATATCGTCAGAGCATGAAAGAAGACTTACCATTTTATTGCTGGTTAGGAAGAGAATGAAGGGCTGAAATATCCTGTATCCTAATCGTTTCTTAAAGCGCTAGAAATTTGCCTGTTCTTTCAACAAGCGTATCTTACGATTAGGACTTACCAAAAGGATTATCCACTGCTTCATTTCTGACAAATAAGCGCTCTAAGACTATATACCACTGACCTTAACCTGCACGAATGTACCTGACACTTCAACCTGAGTTTACACAATAAGCAATTGAAGCACAATAATTCGTAGAGTCACTGCTGTGGAAGTCACTTATCGGAGCTCAAATTTTGCAAGAGGCGCTCATAAAATTTTGTCAAAAGCGAATCAATAGTGCGTTATCGATGGGCACTGAAAGAAAAATGAAGGCAAGATTTTTATTGCCCATGTTTCAATTCATGCAATGACTTTTTCATAGCACGATAAAAGGCTGTACACTCGAAGCATGTTCCATCTGTTGTTACCTAATTCGTTTTCCACGTTGCTAGGCGCACCTTCAGCATTCAGCATAAGGACGATGTCGAAGCTATTTTTGCTCAATATGATCAGCCAACGCTGTGTACTTCGGTGCTTGAAATTCAATACTTTATTTGATGCACACAGCAACTCTAGGATGCTTAATATAGGCTTGACTCATTTTGCAAATGCACTGCGGTGACATTCTAACGTTTTCCTGTGCTTTGCCCAGAGAATGACGAAATTTATACTCAAAACAACGTGATAAATTTAAGCTGAAGTTTTCTCGTGACGTGCTGACTTAGCCGGCTCACGCGCACCACAACCAATTCTTGCGCAGTAAAGTTATACAACTTTTTCATGCTCAAAGTATAAAAGTGAGGGTGTATACAGATATTTTTGCTCTTGGTGCAAACGAAAATACTCACAGTAACAATCAATGCTGCTTTAACGCAGAACCGCTATACAATGCAGCCCCTAACTCGCGTAAAAAAACGCCAGGCGATGGATTTTTCCGCCGCGGCAGATAAATCAACAAAAAATCGTCGGAAGCTCATAGAATCTTTCAAACTGGGTTTTTTGCAAATCTTACGAGATTTTTGGAAAGTTCACAAAAAAGCGATTCTGAAAACGAGAAAATTTTCTCAAAACACATTTTCCTAACTGCTTCAATGGGGTGGCGACGGATTGATCTGCCACGAAATCGTCGCAGGCTTATAACTTTATTGAAAATTACTTTTTTCAAATTTTAGTTCCATATTCGGAATACCGCTGAAATGACGGCTAAAAAATGTAAATTTGTTTGAGAAAAACTTTTTCTGAATCGTTTTAGAATGGTCGCGACGGAATGATTGTGTGCGAAACCGTCGCAAAGAAATAACTTTTTCTAGATCAGAGTAGATGATTTTTAAATTCACTACCACCTTTTTTACCACCACTGATTTCAGCAACATAATGAACCTACAAAATGAATTACGTAGACCCTCATTGTAACAATCAATGCTGCTTTAACGCAAAACCGCTAATATGTAGCTGAACAGCTGACAGGCGCAACCTTGTTATTTGGCGCTTACTGAGTTTAGATTCACAAAATCTATCGCATATAGTCGCAAGTCGACAGTTGCGATACTAGACTCTTAAAATATAAATTCAACTCCTTTTCCGGTGCGACAAACACTGATTACATCTTAAAAAATGTCACTTATTCATTAATCTCACTCAAATAAGGTCTAGAGTAATCGTAATGCCATTTTCGTAAGCAGTTAAAATATTTTGAAAATTGCTGTTCCTTTGCAGGCCAGTAACATAAGCATTGGTTATCAGGTTGGCTAGAAAGTTCTTCCTGACTTTCAAAATCCAAATTTCTTATTTTCACAAAATACTTGCACAAATCAAAATTTGCCTAAAAGAGGAAGTTATGTGCCTCATAATAGCATTTAAAGTTTAACAGGCAAACTCTGCTGCGCTAGAAGCTGTAAGGAATCACTACTCAATTTTTTCTATAGGGTTTCCAAAAATCTGGGACTTGCATTAAAAATTGGAACAGTTGGGATTATCGGTTCCATGAACTGCGCTTTCCATTCAAGCCAAGTTGTAATGATTGAGTTTTTCTATGGATATATATTTCGCACAAATACTATAAAATGGCAAATTTGATTTTTCTGGAATTTTTTTCAGAAATTCAATTTTGAAGGAACCACTTAATTAGCATAAAACTTTCAAATCCAAAAAAGCAGTTCAAAAACTCATTAGCACACCTGCTCGAATTTTTAGTGCAAATTTCCGAATTTTGGCAACCGTACACCCAAAATAAAAATTTAAGTAACTCTCTTTTACAGCCTCTGTCTTAGTAGTGATTGCGTGTTAGAAACTTTTCGAAAGGATATTGTACACCGCATGTTCCTCTCTTGAGCAAAATTCAAGTTAGCAAGTCCCTTGAGAAAGTGAGAAATTACTAATTTTTGAAGATATTGGGAACAAACTATGGCCATCGCGCTAATGACCTAACCTATGTATGTATATAAACGATACTGTTTTTCTTGCTACTTTCATGGTGGTTTCGAAAAACGTAGGGGTTTTTGTCAAGTCTAAAAACCTTGTCCCTTCCAATTTTCACGCATTTTCTAGAATTTGCATCTAGCCATCAAACTTCAACTTTCATCTGTTTTCCAATTGTTGCTACCATTAACAACAATAATTCCTACAGCACACCAAAAGTCAAATTTTACTGCATGGGATAATTAAAATTTGCTATTTGCTGCGACTAACAATTGATTTGAGCTAAAACTGGCTGCCCTTCTGAACGAATATTACTCCACTATATTTTGTTGTGACAAAGGACCTGAATACTTTTCGCCTGCACTTTTCTGCAAAAATAGATTTTTCACTATTGGTAAATTTTTGAATTCCCTTGCGATATTTAACTCCACCTTCGAGATCCTTCTTAGTGATGCACAACAAGGAAATGGTTCAGATCGACTTGGTATAACAACAACAATGTAGATTTACAGAGCCATTATCCTTAAGTCATTTGTAACTTAATATGTGAGAATGCACACTATGCTCGATTAGCCAGGCATTCTTACTAATAACCTTTCAGTGAAAACTTTCTAGCCTATCAAACTGTAAAGATTTGTTCTACTGACTAGCATATATCTGACAAAAACAAAAGAGAAGAGGAAGCAGGAGAAATTACTGCAAATGCGCAGGTCCTAATTTTGCAGTTCGCCAGCTAACACAAATGGTGTGCAATACACATATTAAGTTACGAATGATCCGACGATATATAGTTAGCATAAATGTGGCAAAAAATAGGTACTTTTCCGTTATAAGGGCGCATTTTTTTCCAAAAGAGGATATGCTTCTTTACTTGTACCAAATTTGGTCTTAATTTCAGAGAAAGGAGAGTCAACCTCCTGTTACGTGTCAGGAAATTGACATGTGAATCAATACACAATCAATACAAATCAATAATCAATACTACACATGTTTGACAGGTTTTACCACGAGTATAGTTAGTCTACCTATCAATATAACTTCGACTTGTTTTTTGATCAATAATGACCACATTTTCATCAGTTTTGAAAATGAGCATCAGCATAACAAGAACAACATACTGGCTTCAATGAACACAACAGGTTTGCCTAAACAAAAGAGTAGGCATTCATTCCATTATTTAAGCGACGAGACACGCGACAGCCAGATGCTTCTTCATTTACAAATTTTTCTCGTCGTATTCGCATAAAGGGCCGGGCATACTTCACGCGATTTCAGTCGCGATGCGATTTGGCAATATTCCAACTGTCCATAAATCACTAAGGGCACATTTTAAATGTACAGAAGATAAGTCGTTCTATCAATCTAGGTAAGTTATACACATAAGTTATACACACTATGCATGTGCAGTCCGCTAGCGTTGGATCCGAAGAGTCATGGCATTGCCAAATCGCGTCGTGACTGAAATCGCGTGAAGTATGCCCGGCCCTCAAGGAAAACATTTTAGAGGATACCATAGAGTCATTGCTGGAAGGCCAAGTTGTTTTAGTGCACTGCCTGGGTTCTTTTGCTTTTATAAAAGGTCGCTGAATAGCGTTTGAGTCATTACAATACTCTCGTGCCCTCGCAAAATAGTTTTGAAATCCAATTTGGGGATGAAGGTGTCAATTTTTATCCTGATACGTGGCAGGGAGATAGTCCTCACAGTATCTGCAAAAAAATTTTATAGGCTAAAGCAAGTATCTCAAAGAACCATTTTGAAAAAATGGTCCGGATAACGGAAATGTACCGAAAAATTTTCTTGAAACAGCAGTAACACTTAATTTTCTGCTTTATCTCTCTCTTTCAACAAAAACATGTCAAAAAACTTTATTGCTCATTTAGTAAAACTTTTTCAACTTTTTCGGCTTTCTTTTAAAACAACCTCCTAGTACTGCGATGATAAAAGGTTCAGCTTCTACACATTCAAACCTGCCGCAAATCTGGCACTGTTCTGGCTAAAGAAAATAAATCGTTCTGGCTTTGCTGAGAATGATTTAGCACCAAATAAAACGATTTAGCACCAAATAAAACTCACAACAGTCTTAAATTTAGGTCTGATCTTGTTGACCCTCGACTTGTTCCTCATTCCATTGCACGATGTCTTCTTTCCAAAAAGCATATCAACGATCTGGCTAGAAAATATCAGGTTGGCACATAAGTTTTGCTGCTTTATCCATAAATTCTTGATCTTTGAAGCAGGCGCATTCAAATTTGGACATTGATAAGATGGAAAAAATCTACGAAATTTCTTTAAAAAAGCGGGCAAAATTAAGGTTTTACGTTTTTTGAGCAAAAACGACGATGTACAAAAACAGAATTGACCACATTCGTAACTATAGGCGAAAGTCTCACAGATCAGCTGCTGAGCCCAACGAAAAAAATAATTGTAATTCATTTCAGATCGATATCTGGCGATCTCGTGAGCTCGATCTAGCCGAGCGCATCAAATGCGTTTCGAAAATCCATCAGTGATCAAGAGTCAGAATCGTAGGATTTTGGCGCAACTCTGCGGGGTAATCCGACATGCTGAACACGAATACCATATTCAGTTGTTGTCAGGGTTAAAAATTAGTTCAGTGATTTCTTGTAGCTAAACTTTTCCGTAGCGAAATAAGCCTTTCACGCAAAATGGATATCATTTTTGTAACAAGATGTCACTACCTCCCTAACCCAAGTTTTATTCAAATCCGTGCAAAATCCTTATCCTTTTCCATTCA